GCTAGAACAGGAGCAGTTATAAACATTTCTTTTAGCTCTTCAATCTGTTGGATTTCATTGGAAGTCCACAGGAGACAGTCAGGTTTCCACTGGGTAAGTTTGTCATATAAAAGTTTACTTTTTAGTGCACAGCTGCCTGAAGGGAGCGTTGGGGAAACTGAAGGGAACAAGATGGTCTAGAGGATCCCATGTGTTGGTGGGTGCAGGTTATTTAGAAACAGGGACTTTTTGTGTTTCAGAGGAGTTAGTTTCTGGCTTGTTCATTCTGGTTTTTAAGGGGTAAAGGAGGACAGGTCCTTGTCTCTAACAAAGAGCATAGTCTATCTCCTCCTGGGAGATGAGGATTTTATCATGAACATGTTCCATTAAGAGCTGACAAATCCACTCCTCATCAGGCCTAAATTTTGGCCAGAAGACTAAGGGTGTAAGGATGGGCCCTCCAAATAAAACAACAATATTTTATTATTTGCTGCTTTCTTTTGTGTTTGGTTCTTTCATTATCTTTCTAATATTTTAACATAAGCCTTAGGGGACTATCAGGAGGAATTTCATTATCTTGAAGGTTCGGGGTGACGCCTAAGTAGAATAGGCCTTGTCCTTGGAATTTTCAACACCCCCTTGCTGGAGGTTTCTATCACTCCTAGGTGTGGGGGGTTGGGGGAGTGCGGGGGCAGTGTGGGGGTGCCTCAACCTGCGATGTTTCTTACCTTGGTCTGTGCAGTTACCTGGTTGCCGTGGTGTTGTAAGCTGCTTCTCCCTGTGTTGCTGAGAGCCTGGATTTATTCATCACAACAGGTGGGTCTTGATCTCCTATTCCTGAGGCCACTGCAATGGGACAGTGGGACATGTCTCCCCCTGGGTGGGGTGACTGAAGACCCCCCTCCTGAAGGAGAATGGGAACCCCAGATGAGCCCCCAAAATTGTTAGAAACAAATGCTTGTTCCTTAGTGCCACAAAGAAGAACTAGCACTTAGACAAAGTTTTCTTAGCAAGGCAATTTTATTTTCTGCAGAAAGGGTGCTTCTCACAGGGCTGGCCATCATGAGAGCACCCAGAACAAAGGAGAGTTGAAGTTTTTATTTCTAATATGACTCCTGCCCCGATGTCCTTCCCCCTTGACTGGGGTCATACTGCACAATTTAAACTAGACCTGACTGGCTAAACATCTAAACTTTCTTTTTTTTTTTTAAAGATGGGGTTTCACCATATTGGTCAGGCTGGTCTCGAACTCCTGACCTCAGGTGATCCGCCCTCTTCAGCTTCCCAAAGTGCTGGGATTACAGGCGTGAGCCACCATGCCTGGCTCATTTAAACTTTCTTGGATAAAGTGGACACCTAACAAGAGAGAGGGGAGAGGAGGAAGGGGTCCTATGCAGTGAACTAGAGAGCCAGTCTTTTCTTAAATTAGGAAAGGAATGTGAGCTGGTGCTGATAACACCACTGGTGCTGTGGCATGCCTGGGCATGTAGTAAAGTCAGAAAGAAGAAAAGGAGAAGAAAGTGTGGGGGTACTGGGAATTAAAGAATAAAAGGTTGAGCAGGCTCTTTGAAGAGAAACTTAGCCGTAACTCACACACTTGGTGGGGCTTGCTTACTATTAATTTTCCTTCAAAGGGTTAACTTTCTGCTTTCTTTAACTAATACTGCTGTAGCCACGATGGATTGAATGCCTTGAGGCCATCCACAGGTGACTGTGTTTAAAGCCTTTGACAAGAGCTGGGCTCGGTGGCTCACGCCTGTAATCCCAGCACTTTGGGAGGCTGAGGTGGGCGGATCACCTGAGGTCAGGAGTTCGAGACCAGCCTGCCCAATATGGTGTAACCCCATCTTAAAAAAAAAAAAAAAAAAAAAACCTTTGACAGGAAGGCTCATGCATGATCTCTCTCTCTCTTTCTCACACACACACACACATGGACTGGCTCACACAGCTAGCAGGGCAAAAAATACCCTCACTTGAGGAGAGATCCAGACCCATTTGGGGAGTCTGCAACACAAATGCCCTTTCCCCTTACCTGTTCTTCTGCACCAGGTTTTTTTTTTTGTTTGTTTATTTGTTTGTTTTTGAGATGGAGTCTCGCTCTGTCACCAGGCTGGAGTGCAATGGCATGATCTCAGCTCACTCCAACCTGTGCCTCCCAGGTTCAAGTGATTCTCCTGCCTCAGCCTCCTGAGTAGCTGGGACTACAGGCGTATGCCACCATGCCCAACTAATTTTTTTATTTTTTTTATTTTTTATTATTTTTTATTTTTTTGAGACTGAGCTTCGCTCTTGTTACCCAGGCTGGAGTGCAATGGCACGATCTTGGCTTACCGCAACCTCCGCCTCCTAGGTTCAGGCAATTCTCCTGCCTCAGCCTCCTGAGTAGCTGGGATTACAGGCACGCACCACCATGCTCAGCTAATTTTTTGTATTTTTAGTAGAGACGGGGTTTCACCATGTTGATCAGGATGGTCTCGATCTCTTGACCTTGTGATCCACCCGCCTCGGCCTCCCAAACTGCTGGGATTACAGGCTTGAGCCACCGCGCCTGGCCTAATTTTTGTATTTTTAGTAGAGATGGGGTTTCACCATGTTGGCCAGGATGGTCTCCATCTTTTGGCCTTGTGATCCACCCGCCTCAGTCTCCTAAAGTGCTGGTATTACAGGTGTGAACCACTGCGCCTGGCCTGTTTTTTTCCTTTTTTTGGGGACTGGGTTTTACTCCAGTGGCCCAGGCTGGAGTGTAGTGGTGCGGTCTTGACTCATTGCAACCTCTGCCTCCTGGGTTCAAGCAATTCTCCTGCCTCAGCCTCCCAAAAAGCTGAGATTACTACTAGTGCTACTGTGCCCAGAAAATTTTTGTATTTTTGTAGAGATAAGGTTTCGCTATGTTGCCCAGGCTGGTCTTGAACTCCTGGACTCAAGCAATCCACCTGCCTTGGCCTCCCAACATGCTGGGATTACAGGCATGAGCCACCCTGCTCGGCTGCACCAGGTCTTAAAAGGAAATCCTTCCTCAACCACCAGGCTTCTTATGGAGAGTATGCAAATTTGCATCTGTAGATGTTTCCCTCTGGGAGGTTTCAAGGCTCTCCCTTTGGGCTTAATAAGAAAAGAGAGCAACTCAGAGGAAGGGAACATAAAGGGCAGGGTTTGAGTAGACACTTTTGCAGGCAGCTTGGGAGAGGGGCTGAGGCTTTGGAAGCCAGGAGAAGGAGGACAGCCAAGGGGCCAGAGGGGCTGACAGAGCAAGGAGAAAGGGCTCAGCCATGTTCTTCGGTGCTTTGGCACATGACCTCATTATCATGGGCAACAGGCTAAGGCTATTTGATTGTGTTTGGGGAAAAGGATTGAAAAATACTTAGTGCCAGGCATGGTGGTTCACACCTGTAATCCCGGCACTTTGGGAGGCCAAGGCAGGCAGATGGCTTGAGCCCAGGGGTTTGAGACCAGTCTGGGCAACATGGTAAAACCCCGTTTCTACTAAAAATACAGAAATAAGCCAGATGTGGTGGCATATTCCTGTAATCCCAGCTACTTGGGAGGCTAAGGCAGAAGAATCTCTTGAACCCGGGAGGTAGAGGTTGCAGTGAGCCGAGATCGTGCTACTGCACTCCATCCTGGGCAATAGAGCAAGATTCTGTCTCAAGAAAAAAAGAAAAATAATTCCTTAGCAATGATGTAGTAATCCCCACTAGGGGTGGCTGCCCATATTCTAATTCTAATATTCTAATTGCAATCTGAATTCTAATATTCTTGTACATCCTTCTACTCTGGAAATTGTCCTTGTTACACAGGCTGGGTGCCCAATGACCAGGTCTGTACTATGCAACCCTGTCCCCATGGCATATAGCTAATTGGTCCAGTGGTGGACTTGAATCAAGAGGTCTCATCAGATTTGTTCATAGCCAAACCACCAATAATTTGGGGGTCTGCCCCCGAGCCAAGCCAGGCCAGAGACCCTTCTCAGAGCAGAGTGAGAACAGACTAGTCCCTCTCTGCCAGTGGCAGGTGGAATGTGAATGTGGCCAGGGAGCTAGTGGCGCTCAGTCACACTGAGGAGTTGAGGCTGCAGTGGGGAATGTTGAAGGCAGCATGCAGAGAAAACCAGAGAACTAGACATTGAATCCTTGGTTCCAGCCATATCTGACCAAGGCCCTAAATCAGTGTTTCCCTTTTATTTTTCTGGTTTAGTTGCTACTTGAAACACTCAATTATCCTTCTAACAAGCTTCCACCCCCACTTTTCCTTATTAAAGTAGTTGGTTAGGTTTTTTGTTCCTTACACCACACACCAAGAAAACAGGTGACGAGCTAAGTAGGTTAAATTAACGTTATCCAAAGCTTTGTTCATCCTGAGACCTCAGATTACTTCGCATCCCTCAATCACAATGGCACCCGGAAGGCACTGTATCAACAGGGACTGCTTTTTCCCTAGGCAGTTTTGGAAGCTCCATTACCAGAGCTGGTGTCTCCCTTTATAGAAAATTCTCAGTCTGTTTACATAAGACCTGGAACTGCCTGGGAAGACCCCACAGTTCAAAAGGTGATATGAGACCCTCTGGGAGTATCCTTAGAGGACATGCTGGGTCTCATACCTATTTTCAGCTTTACATGTGACTCAGCTGTTGCTGCTGCCACTACCTCTTTCTTCTTTCTTTTTTTCTTTTCTCTCCTTCCTTCCTTCTTTTTTTTTTTTTTTTTTTTTTTTTTTTTTTTTTTTTTTTTTTTTTTTTTTTTTGCGTTGCTTTTTGTCTTTGTTGCTCAGGCTAGAGTGTAGTGGCGCGATCTCAGCTCACTGCAACCTCCGCCTCCTGGGTTCAAGTGATTCTCCTGCCTCAGCCTCCCAAGTAGCTGGGATTACAGGCACCTGCCACCATGCCTGGCTAATTTTTATTTTTATTTTTTTATTTATTTTTATTTTTTATTTATTTTTTATTTTTTTTATTTTTTTTGGGGACTGAGTTTCGCTCATTACCCAGGCTGGAGTGCAATGGCACGATCTCAGCTCACCGCAGCCTCCGCCTCCTGGGTTCAGGCAATTCTCCTGCCTCAGCCTCCTGAGTAGCTAGGATTACAGGCACGCGCCACCATGCCCAGCTAATTTTTTGTATTTTTTTAGTAGAGACGGGGTTTCACCATGTTGACCAGGATGGTCTCGATCTCTTGACCACGTGATCCACCTGCCTCGGCCTCCCAAAGTGCTGGGATTACAGGCTTGAGCCACCGCGCCCGGCCCTAATTTTTATTTTTGTATTTATTTATTTATTTTTGAGACAGAGTCTTGCTCTGTCACCCAGGCTGGAGTGCAGTGGCGTGATCTCAACTCACTGCAACCTCCGTCTGCTGGGTTCAAGTGATTCTCCTGCCTCAGCCTCCTGAGTAGCTGGGACTACAGGCACCCGCCACCATGCCTGACATGTTTTTGTATTTTTAGTAGAGATGGGGTTTCACCATGTTGTCCAGGCTGGTCTGGAACTCCTGACTTCATGTGATCTGCTCGCCTTCACCTTCCAAAGTGCTGGGATTACAGGTATGAGCCACCGTGCCCAGCCAGCTAATTTTTATATTTTTAGTAGAGATAGGGTTTCACTGTGTTGGCCAGGGCTGGTCTTGAACTCCTGACCTCAAGTGATCCACCTGCCTTGGCCTTCCAAAGTGCCGGTATTACAGGTGTGAGCCACTGTGCCTGGCCAGTCTCTTCTTATAGTATGCATAATATCTGCATCAAGGCAAAATACATTTCTAAGCATGCAAACAAATCCACGCACCCACTTACCAGACAGTTGCTCTCTACTCCATGATTTGTGTCTAAGGCCAATATAAGATGGGCGGATGGCCAAGGCACAGCCTGTCGTCCTGAAATCATCTGTGGGAAGATAATTCACTGTTGAGCAACTCAGGACTTGAAGGAGAAAATAGGATTATAAATATTTTTACATTCATCAACTCGTTGAATAAAAGGGATATTTGGGACATTTTAATACATCTTAAATTAGTAATAATGAGTACTATTCAAATTTCCTTTCTATCTGGAGGGAGGTGACATGTTGGCATGTTGGCTTTTTTTTTTTTTTTTTTTAGAGTATTGGACTCATACGGAAAAGATGCACTGCAGGTTGAGTAACCCTTATTTGAAATGCTTGGGACCAGAGGTTTTTTTTTTTTTTTTTTTTTTTTTTTTTTTTCTTGAGATCGAGTTTTGCTCTGTCACCCAGGCTGGAGTGCTGCAGTGCCCCAATCTCAGCTCACTGCAACCTCCGCCTACTGGGTTCAAGTGATTCTCCTGCTTCAGCCTCCTTAGAAGGTGGGATTATGGGTGCATGTCACCACGCCTGGCTAATTTTTGTATTTTTACTAGAGACGGGGTTTTACCTTGTTGGCCAGGCTGGTCTTGAACTCGAGACCTCAGTTGATCCACCCACCTCAGCCTCCCAAAGTGCTGGGATTACAGGCATTAGACACCATGGCCAGCCTGTTGGTCTTTATTAAATTCTGCCATGTCCCACAGAGTTTAAGGTAGAGAATAGAAAGTTCAATTTGGGACATGCTAAAGTTAAGGACCCTGCAGGGCATGCTGGTGGCAAGACCCAAGGGCATTTAAGACCCAGAATTTAGGTTTGGACATCATTGGCTTTTGGGTGGTTGTTGAAACCTTGGGTATGAGTGAGATAATCCAAGAAGAATTTGAAAGAAGAAGTAAACCAAGACAGAGCCCTGGGAACAGAAACATTTATGGGGCTGATGGGAAGAAAAGGAATTAGTCAAGAAGAAAGAAAATGCATTCAAAGAGATGGAAGAAAATGAGGGGTGATGGGGAATTTAGTGGCTGCAGGAGTAAAGGATTTCGAGAATGAAGAATTGGTCAACATAGAGAAGAGGCCTAAAAAGATAAGTACTGAGAGGACGAAGAAGATAAGGCGTCCCTCTAGTATAGCAACAAGGAAGTTCCTGGTGACATTAGTGGCTTCGGTGGTATAGTAGAGAGAGAATCCAGATGTCAGGGGGTTGAGGACCCTGGCGCCAGTCCACAGGGGAATGGAGCTTTCCCTGCACTGCTCAGCACTACGTGACGACAAGAAGGTGGAAGGTTAAGGGGACATGATGTAATGAGATAAGGAAGAGGGAGCTGCAAGAACAGGCACTTACGTTTGGATAATCGGATTTTGTCAGAGTGTTGCTTTTAGGTGATGACAGGCCTCAGAGTGTGACCAAGGGGATGAGGGGCCTGAGCAGTAAGAAGGGCTAAGGTCATTGGAGACAAGGGGGCGAGAGACTTTAAGATTAAGATATAGAAGGTGTTATCCACAGGGATACTAAATCACCCGGGATGATGGCAGTATTTCTTCTGGGAAGCCTGTGAGTCAAGGGCCAAAGTCCTCAGTGAATGCAGGGAAGTGAGTAGATGGCCGTGCTGAGGGAGGGAGTCCAAAGAACAGTGGTGATCTGAAAGAGGCAGTGAGGGCGGGGGATGCTGACCACCTTCTTTGTCACATGGTAGGTGGGTTATGTCGTTAGTAGGGCCTCATGCTATGTCCTCAACCAGGTTTCAGTTAAAGCAGAAGGTGGAGGGAGCTCCCTCTATAAATGAACCAAGGTTCCAGGTGCTATAGGCTCAGGGTGCTGCAGTGGCAGCAGGAAGCACAGAGGGCAGCAGCATCCCAAGAGCACAGGAGAGGCTCCCTATCTGGATTAACCTTTTTGGGAGGTTAGTCTAGGATGACAGGAGAGTCAGTCTAGGATGACAGGAAGAGTTGGGGGCATCATGGGGCTGATTGAAGAGGCACTAAGAGAGATCAGGATTGATGTGGCTTCCACGCTGTGCAGACCAAGGACCTAGGCGATGGGGCAGCCTGGTATGCACCAGATTCCCAACAGAAATTTGGTGAGCCTCTGCAGGGCCTGGCCCTGGTGAGGAGAGGGATAACTAGATCCAAGTCAGAATATAAGTAGACAGTGGTCTCCTGCACCCTCTGGGTGGATATGTCTTTGTCATGGATTCTGCAGTTGGCCTCCCATCCATTCACACACAGTTCTCTATGGAGGAGCTCTTTAAGTAAGATTGGTTTCACTTCCAGCCTCAGTGGTGTGTCCTAAATCAGTTAGAAAAATCCCATCCCCAGGCCCAGTCTCTGGGTCAGGGAATGGCCCAAGCCAGCTCTACCCTCCGCTGTGTGTGGACTTTTCTCTGGTCACAGGAGTTGCTTTAAAGTGAGTCTCTAAGTCTAGAGAAAAGATGTAAAATCTTTAAAAACTGCAGCCATTTCTGCCACTATAAGGAGAAACAGCCTTGTTTGAATCCATTCTATGCTGCTGTCACAGAATATCACAGACTAAGTGTCTTAGTCTATTTGTGTTTCTATAAAGCAATACCTGAGGCTGGGCAATTTATAAAAGAGAAGAGGTTTATTTGGCTCATGGTTCTGAAGGCCGTACAAGAAGCATGACACCAGCATCTGCATCCAGAGAGGGTCTCAAGCTGCTTCCACTCATGCCAGAAGGTGAAGGGGAGCCACTGTGTGCAGATGTCACTTGGCGAGAAAGAAGGCAAGAAAGAGAAGGAAGGTGTCAGGCTCTTTTTAACAGCCAGCTCTCAGGGGAACTCTCATGGAAACTAATAGATCAAGAACTCATTCATTACCATGAGGACAGGACAAGGACTGCACCAAGTCATTCATGAGGGATTTGCTCCCATGACCCAAACACCTCTCATTAGGTCCCACCTACAACATTGGGGATCGAATTTCAACATGAGGTTTAAAGGGTTAAATATTCAAACTATAGCACTGGGTAATTGACAATAAACAGAAATTTATTTGGCTTACAATTCTGGAGGTTGAGGAGTCTAATATCAAGGTCCAGCATCTGGCAAGGACCTTATTGCTGCATCATCCCATGATGGAAGGCATCACATGAGTGAGAAAGCATGTTTGTACATGAGAAAGTGAGAGTGACACGAGAGCAAACTCATCCTTTTATCTGGATCCCACTCCTGAGATAACCCATGGCCATGGTAACAGCATTAATCCATGCATGAGGGTGGATACTTCATGACCTGATCACCTCTTAAAGCTCCCACTTCTCAACACTGTTGCACTAGAGATTAAGTTTCCAACACATGGACTTTGGAGGACACATTCAAATCACAAAAAGTCTATATTACTATTCTTCAGAGAAACAGAGCCAATAGGATATATATTTATGAGGGGATTTTTTATGAGAATTGGCTCACTTTATTATGGAAGCCAAGAAGTCCCATGATATGCTGTCTGTAAGCTGAAGACTCAGGAATGCTGGTGGTACAATTCAGTCTTAAGGGTTGAGAACCAGGAGCTCCTCCTCTAAAGGCAGGAGAAAATGTCTCAGCTCAGAGAGAGCAAATTTGCCCTTCCTCCATCTTTTTGTTCTATTCAGGTTCATAGTGGACTGGATAATGCCTATCCAACATTGGTGAGGGCAATCTTCCTTACTCAGCCTACTGATTTAAATGATTTCTTCCAGAAACACCCTTACAGACACACCCAGAAATAATGTTTTACCAACTCTCTGGGCATCCCTTAACCCAGTCAAGTTGACACAGAAAATTAACCATCACACAACCCAAGGATAAAGCCAACACACACAGAGGAGGGAAGAGCTGGGCCAGTGTAGAGAAACAAAGCCCCTGAAGATGTTGAGACCCTCTGGATCAAAGCATTCTTCAAGTCCTCATTGCTTCTGGACTTTTTTTCTGGAACAATATGTGTTCTTTATTTTTATTTATTTATTTTTGAGATAGGGGCTTACTCTGTTGCCCAGGCTGGAGTGCAGTGGTCTGATCATAGCTCACTGCAGCCTCGAACTCCTGGGCTCAGGCAATCCTCCCACCTGAGCCTCCCAAGTAGCTGGGATTATAAGTGCATGCCACCATGCCTGGCTAATATTTTATTTTTATTTTTTGTAGATACAGGGTCTTGCTTGGTTTCTCAGGCTGATCTTGAACTCCTAGGCTCGAGTGATCCTTCCACCTCAGCCTCCCAAATGTTCTTTATTATTGACACCAGTTTGAACTGGGTGTTCTGTTACCTTGCCTTACCTGAGAGCATCCCAGCTGAGAGGAACATACCTTAGACATACTTTGTCCCGTTAGCTCCTTACCCACCTTCCCGGGGCCAAGATATGTATGGGGGCTGGGCATGTGTAGACTCTGGAGTTCTCAGCCTTTAGGGGACTGTGATTCTGAAGATGGAGCTGGATGTAAACTATGAGTCAGGGAGGGAGTCAGTTTTCTCTGTCAGAGACTATTTGGCCCCCAGCTCCTATCTGGGTGATCCAGACATTTAGTTCTGTTTTGTAGAATCTTTTGCATGACCGACCACACCTGACTTTCTTAGTAATCTCCCTAAATTAGTTTTCTGCTAGTAAGAGTGTTCACTGTTGTGAACAGCTAATTTTTGTATTTTTGGTAGAGACAGAGTTTCACCGTGTTGGCCAGGCTGGTCTTGAACTCCTGACCTCACGTGAACCACATGGTTATTATCTGCTTTTCCTTCCCACTCTTACTCATTCAGTGAATATTTATCAAGTGTCTACCAGATGGCAGGCACCATTCTGGGCACTGGGGCTAAATCAGTGAACAAAATAGACAATAATCCCTGCCCTTGGGGCTTATAGGATTACATTCTAATAGGGAGATACAGACAGTAAACAAAATAAACAAGTAAAAATATTTAAACAGTGATAAAATGGGCCAGACACGGTGGCTCACTCCTGTAATCCTAGTGCTTTAGGAGGCTGAGGCGTAGGATTGCGCAGGGCTCAGAGTTTCAGACCAGCTTTGGGAATACAGTGAGAGCCCTGTCTCTATAAATAAAAATAAAAAATTAGCCAGGCATGGTGGCACATGCCTGTGGCCCTGAGAGGATGGGGCGGGAGAAGTGCTTGAGCCCAGGAGTTCAAGGCTGCAGTGAGCTATGATCACGCCACGGTACTCCAGCCTGGGTGACAGAGCGAGACCCTGTCTCGAAAAAGCAATAAAATGCTAAGGTGGAAAATTCAAATCAGGGAGTTTTTTGTGTGTTTTACATAGGTTGTATAGGGAAGGCCTCACTGAGAAAGTTGCTTTGGCTTTTGTGTAAAGACCTCAACAAACTGAGACATGAACTATGGATGAGTATGGAGGGGAAGATCACTCTCAGTAGAGGGAACAAGTCCAAAGGCCTTGAGGTGGGCACGTGTCTGGTGTGTTTGAGGAATGGCAAGGAGGCCAATTTGACCTAGAGGGGTGATGGAAGGGGAGAGTAGGAGGTCACAGAGGTGATAGAGCTGGTCACATGGAGCCTTTAGGGCATAGTGAGCATGTCAGTTTTTACATCTGATCAATGGGGGAACATGGGATAGTTTTAAGCAAAGTACTGACAAGACCTGACTTACGTTTTAAAAGAAAGACGAGTCAAGGATGACCCCAAGTTTTTATCTGAACAGATGAAAGAATTGACTTGGTACTAGTTGGCTGAGTGTGGTGGCTCACACCTGTAATCCCAACAATTTGGGGGTCTGAGGCAGGTGGATCACTTGAGGCCAGGAGTTCAAGATCAGCATGAGGAACATGGTGAAACCCCATCTCTACTAAAAATACAAAAATTAACCGGGTGTGGTGGCGCATGCCTGTAATCCCAGCTACTCAGGAGGCTGAGGCATGAGAGTTGCTTGAACCCGGGAGACGGAGGTTGCGGTGAGCCAAGATGGCACCACTGCTACACTCCAGCCTGAGTGACAGAGTAAAACTCTGTCTCAAAAAAAAAAAAAAAAAATTGACTTGCTATTAGTTGTTAGAGAAACTACATTTTGTGTGTGTGTTGGGGAGGGCGGATGGAGAATAAATGGTCAGCTTGGGGTATTTAAATTTTTTTTGAGACAGAGTCTTGCTCTGTTGCCCAGGCTGGCATGCAGAGGTATAGTCATGGCTCTCTGCAGCCTCGACCTCCCTGGCTAAAGTGATCCTTCCATCTTATCCTCCTGAGTAGCTGGGACTTACAGGTATGTCCCAACATGCTTGGCTATTTTTTTTTTTCATTTTTTATTTAATTTTTAATTTTATTTTAAAGATGGGGTTTCACTATGTTGGTCAGGCTGGTCTTGAACTCCCGACCTCAGGTGATCCACCTGCCTTGACCTCCAAAGTGCTTGGATTACAGGCGTGAGCCACCATGCCCGGCCCGCTTGGCTAATTAAAAAAAATTTTTTTTAGAGATAGGGTCTCGCTATGTTGCCCAGACTGGTCTTGAACTCCTAAACTCAAGTGATCTGCTTGCCTCTGCCTCCCACAGTGCTGAGATTACAGGCGTGAACTATGGCACCTGCCTGGACACTTAAATTTGCAGTGCCTATCAGACATCTAAGTAGAGAGGTCAAGTAGACAGATGGCTGTCTGAGTCTGGAGTTCAGGACTGAGGTTCAGGTTAGGGATTTATTTGAGGCTCACTAGAAAAGTGATGGTATTTAAAACTCCAAAACTGGCTGGGCACAGTGGCTCACACTTGTAATCTCAACACTTTGGGAGGCCGAGGTAGGCGGATCACTTGAGGTCAGAAGTTTGAGACTAGCCTTGCCAACATGACAAATCCTGTCTTTACTAAAAATACAAAAATTAGCCGGCTGTGGTGGCAGACACCTGTAATCCCAGCTACTTGGGAGGCTGAATTGCTTGAACCTGGGAGGTGGAGGGTTCAGTGAGCTGAGACCAAGCCACTGTATTCTAGTCTGGGTAACAGAGTGAGACTCTGTCTCAGAAAAAAACAAAAAAACAAAAACAAAACACTACAAAACTGGATAAACCCACTCAAGACTTTTTGCCTTTACTTTGATGACCCTTTTTCTGAGCTGTGACAGTACTTTAATTCACGTTTAGATACTTATTTAGAAAAGGACTGGGCATGCTGCAAATGAAGACATAATGTTTCATGTCTGGCAGACTCTAGCTTTTTTTTTTTTTTTTTTTTGAGACAGGGTTTTGCTCTTATTGCCCAGGCTGGAGTGCAGAGGCATGATCTTGGCTCTATGCAACCTCTGCCTCCCGGGTTCAAGTGATTCTCCTGCCTCAGCCTCCTGAGTAGCTGGGATTATAGGTGCCTGCCACCATGCCCAGCTAATTTTTGTATTTTTGGTAGAGTCAGGGTTTCACCATGTTGGCCAGGTTGATCTTGAACTCCTAGGAGGCTGAGGCAGGAGAATTGCTTGAACTCAGGAGGCAGAGATTGCAGTGAGCTGAGATTGTGCCACTGGGCAACAAGAGCAAGACTTCGTGTCAAAAGAAAAATTCTGTCGTTTTTAAATTTTTGAATATAAATCTTCTTTTGTTTCTTCTGTTGCTTCAAAGCCTTGAGAATGCTGGCATTTATCCATAAATATAACTGCCTCATCCTATTAAATATATAGTTTCTATGGCTGTTCTTTAAAATATTTAGCACTTTGATCCACTTGGTGTTTATTTTTATATACTATGTGAAACTTACATTTTTGTCCTCCGAAGTTTCATTCATTTATCTGCACATTCTTTTCATAGTTCATCCTTTCTTACTGCCGTGTTTGGGAATGTTATTTTAGTATGTGTCCCGTCAGGATTAATATATATGTTTGTTCAGTCTCATTCCTTTCCGTTGATCTCAGCTTCTATCTTTGTTTCTGCTCTTTAGTCACAGCCCAGCAGCACCAAAGGAACATCTCGCCCCCTGCAGGCAGCCGGTATCCCCACAACCTGGGTCTGTCCTCGGAGCCCAGGTGGACGTGTAGCTCTGTCCCTGCGGGAGGATTCAGGGCCCTTTTGACAGGTCTCCTGTGCCGGTTTCCTGAGGCCTCAAGCTTCCTGGGTTCCACCTTTCTAGTAAACAGTAGAGACGGACCTTTACCCTGTCGTCAGGTGGGGACCGTCCCCTCCTGGACTCTTCCTTTCAGGCTTTTGCACCTCCCCGATCCCAGGGCACCTGTCCCACCACGCTGCCCACGTAGTGCTGCTTCAAGGTCCGCGGTTCTGGCCATCAGCGCTGAATGTCATGACACTGAGTAAATTGTGTCCTGATGAGTTCTGGGCGCTGATTTTCCAGCTCACTTGGAAGCTGCTCCCTGGGCCCGCCTGTTTCCCTTCACTTTCCCTCCTTGACTCCCTTCCCTCGCAGTATAACACTCAGCGTACCCTTTCTAACAAGGGCCAAAGCGTTGTTGAAGCAGACACATTTCAAACACAAAAATTAAATTCCTCTTTATTTAACAGATGTGCACGAATCTATTGTGTGTTAGATACTGATAAGTGTCTGAAGAGTCGTACTGAGCCAGCCCGGGCTCCTAGAATTGGGTTATGTGCCAAAGTCTCGATCAGGTTAGGAGCGTCTTGGGAGAGGGCTCGGAGGAATAGAAGGAGGCGTAGGGGCTAGGGGGAGGATAGTTCTGGAGGCTCGAGTAATGGGGAGTGGGCTGTGCTGAGCCCCCTTCTCCTCGCTGTCTCCCTATTCCTTCGCCGAGCCGGAGCCGCATGCGCAGTTCCTCGGGTCTTAGCCGTGCACTCGGATGGCGAAGGCGCGCCCAGGTGAGGGAGCTCGCGGGTAGGGCATTCCGCGGGTACCCGCAGAGCAGGACGGCCACCACGCCGCGGCCCCGGGGCTCCACCCAGGGCACTCACCCGGAGCGACCCAAGGCTACGTTTCGCGCCTGGGCGCACGCCGGTAACTGGGCACGCGCTGACAAACCACGTCTGGAAAACCCGGTCCTAACTGGAGAATAAAACTTAAATACATGTGAACCAACCAGCAGCTGAACATTTCCGTGAGAAAACACCGAAAAGCCTGCGCCAACTCCGGCGGGGCCTCAGATTTTCAGAGCTCGTGGTCTGGAGCCCGGCGCCCTCCAACGCCTGGGCCCTGCAGAGCAACTGTCCCAATAGGATCCCTTTCCGGCGCTTGGAAGAAGGCTTTGTTGCAGGGATAGGAGATTCTTTTTACATGTTCCTTGGCTTGCACAGGCATTTACCGGTCCTCTGGAGATCCCATATAACAAGAAATCTCTAAATTCAGTATTCCTTTAAATGAACTTGAATTTATTCATCACAGTTCTATCAACAGACTTGAAAAATAATAGCATACACATTGTATACATTATGTGTAGGAGACTGTATTTATCAGGTCCATCAGAGGCACTTAATCTGGGATACAGGGACAGCTAGGAGTGGATAGGATTCAGGGAGCCCATGAAACTCCTGAGATTGTTTCACATTTTAGGGCAAATGTGCAGTTTTTCTGAGAAGTTTTGTTGTTTTAATGATGACCAGGGTTCATAATCTTAGTTCGGTTAAGAATGCTGCTGTAAAGTCAATGCTCAGCCGGTTTATGGATTCAGAACTCTTTCCACTAGCACTGAGGCCCCATTGAGGGCCCGAAGCCCCCAATCTGGACCCCTGCAGGAGAGTTTGGTTCTGCAGTGAAGGTCACTAGAGCCCGGACTGGATTTTCTCTCCTCACAGGAGAGCCTCCCAAAACTCCACAGGGCACAGTTTTTTTCGTTTTAAAGCCATATTAGGTTCAAGTAGATTTACTTCTGCATTTCTCTTTTCTTAAATAGAAATAAGTCTCTGGTGGGTATTTTCCCCTGGGTTAGTCATGCAAACGTTCTATGCCTCACTTACCACTCGTTTCAGCCTCTGGGACAGCCCTTCTGCACAGACCTGGCCCAAGACCCTTCTGCCACCCACACATGGGAGTCTCTGGGGAACTTGAGTGTTAACTTCATTGGGCTGGGATTTTCCTCAACCTATGTGCCTAGGGAGGTAAAACGTCTTCCTTTTATGGAAAAAATAGTATAATTTTCATGTGTGTGTGAAGAATAGAAGATTACAAAACCACCCATAACCCCCTTAATAGGTCTAACATAATAACTAATTTTGTTTTAAATATCAGCTTTCCTATATGTACGTATTTTGCATTGCTGTGATTATAGCAGTACTGTATGTAATTATATGTTAAGAGCCAGTCGGTTTTACAATTAACTGTACTACTGTTCCATAACATACTATAACCGTTTTACTGTCTTCGGTAATTAGTGTTTTTAATGACTGCATACTTTTCTTTTCCTTGAGATGGAGTCTCGCCTATTGCCCAGGCTGGAGTGTAGTGGTGCGATCTTGACTCACTGCAACCTCTGCCTCCCAGGTTCAGGCCATTCTCCTGCCTCAGCCCCTGGGGTTGCTGAGACTACAGGCACCCACCACCACACCCAGCTAATTTTTGTATTTTTAGTAGAGATGGGGTTTCACTATGTAGGCCAGGCTGGTTCTCAAACTCCTGACCTCAGGTGATCTCCCAAAGTGCTGGGATTATAGGCGTGAGCCACCACACCCATCTGGTAACTGTATACTTTTCTACCCCACAAGCACACTTTATCATTTTCCTTTGTTGTACATTTGCATCGGTTCCAGGTTATTTAATGTGTGTGTGTGTGTGTGTATGGATATGTGTGGTAGTGGTGCTGTCGTGTCATAAACATTGTGCTCATGCTGAGGTCTCTTCTTTTCCCTGGCCAGTTTCTAGTGTCATGAACTCTCAAGTTCCAGAGAAGCCATGCTTTCAACCTTCCAACATTGACTGATTAATTCATATGTGTATGTACATATATATATGTCAGGTACTGATAAGTGTAACAGAGAGAGAGGAAGCGAGGTAAGGAAGATCAGAATTACATCTTTTGTAAAGCAGAACCAGAACTTGACTTTCTCTATTTACAGACTGTCCCTCCCCCAAGACCCCAGAAAAATTCCAAGGGCATAGTTGGTTTCATTTTATAGCCAAATTAAGTTCAAGTAGATTTACTTGATAAGTAGAACTTTTTGATAAGGTGACATTTGAGCAGAGACATAAAGGAAATTTTGCAAATCTGGGAAAAGGGCTTTCTCTCTCTCTCTCTCTCAGACAGGGTCTTGCTCTTGCTCTGTTTCCTAGGCTACAGTGCAATGGCTCATTGCAGCCTTGGCCTCTCAGGCTCCAGCAATCCTCCTGCCCTTTTGGTGGAGCACACCTGCAGCTGGGACTACAGGTGTGCTCCACCAAACTTAGCTATTTTTTTTTTCTTTTTTTGTAGAGATGGGCATCTCATTATGTTGCCCAGGCTGGTCTCCAACTCATGAGCTCAAGGGATCCTCCTGCCTCAGCCTCCCAAAGTGTTGGGATTACAGGTGTGAGCCACTGTGCCTGGCTGGGGAGACGGCTGTCTAGGCAAAGGAAACATGACTGCAAAGGCCCTGAGGTAGGAGTGTGCTTGGCGTGTTGAAGAGGCCACATGGCGGGAGTGGAGTGGGCCAGGAGGAGTGAAAGCTGTTGTGGGTGGAGAGGTGAGTTGGAGGTGGTGGGCCCACACCCTGTGAGGCCTATAGGCTTTCACTCTGAGATGAAGAGCTGTTAAAGGGTTTTGAGCAGAGGATTGAGAGGCTCTGATTTTAAAAGAATCAATTTGTCAGTTATGGAGAACAGACTGTCAGAGTTTGGAAATTATTACAATCCAGGCAAGAGACGAAGCCCTTCTTTGGAGCAGGGCATGGTGATGTGAATGGTAGGGATAGCCAGGGGACAGTTTTAACAGGATTTGTGGATGGTTTGAATGTGAGTCCAAAAGGGAAGAGTCAAAGATAACTTCAAAGTTTAGGAAGAATGGAACTGCTGTTATGTTTCCTGAGTTTTATTGTTGTTTGTTTATTTGTTTGTGTTTTGTGTAGGGAGACAGGGAATTAGGAATTTAGTTTTGGACATATTCAATTTGAGATGCCTGTTAGAAAGCTAAGTGAAGAAGTCAAGTAGATAGTCAAATATAAGAACTTGAAGTTTATGGGAGAAGTCAGAGCTGATTTGGGGACATGAGTGAGGATATATTTAAAGCACGAGATGGCATGAGATCCAGCCCAAAGGTCTCTCCCAATCATTTATTCAGCTGTCCACTTGACATCACCACTTGGACATCTAAAAGATAACTCAAGCTCAAAACATCCAAAACAACATCTGATCTTAACTTCCCTAAACGATTCCACCCATAGCCTCCCCCATCTGTTAATGATAGCACCATTTTTTCATTACTCAGACAGAAACCCGGAGTGACTTTACTTTTTCTCTCATCTCCCACATTTAATTGGTTAGGAGGCTCTGTTGGCTCTGCCTTGAAAATACTTCCAGAATCCAAACACTTCTCACCACCCTCATTGCTACTGTCCGGATCAGAGCTGCCATTAGTTGTTTCTTGCCTGTCTGACTCCTAACAATTCCTCTGCTTCTGCCACAGGCCTTCCCCATCTCCGACCACCCTGTTCTCAACAGAGGGATTCTTTAAAACCTGCAAGATCACATCCCCCCTCTGCTCAAAACCCTCCAAACAGCTTGCCATTTCACTCAGAGTAAAAGACAAAGTCCTTATATGACCTGCCCTATCTGACCCAGAGCCTCCACCTGTAACCCTACATCCTATTGTTCTCCCCATCACTCACTTGGCCCCAGCAACATAGCTTTCCTTGTTGTTCCTCAACCATGCCAGATATACTCCTGCCTCAGTTTCCTCTGCTTACAATGCTCTTCTCTCTGCTAGCACCCTTGTCTCATTCATTACCTTCCTAAGATTT